TTGCTTCCTTCCTTCCTTCCTTCCTTCCTATTTTTATTTCATTTCTCTCTCTTATTTGCGCTCTCTCTCTCTCTCTCTGTTTGTCTATCGTCTGCCTTTTTCTCTCTCTTTTAATACTATATTTTCATAATCTGATACACACTTGCTACCACAAACCTGTACATCAAACCTTAAATCAAACTTCATACCATTACTGAGCTCCTCTAGTCTTTGATTGCATTATTTTTCCACTTCCTAACTCCAGCAGATAGTTCAAATATAATTATCGTAGCGGATGAAAGAATACTTCATTTCAAGAGCTTCAATAATTTTTCCGGTTGAAATAAATAAAATCCAAGAAAAACCTTATCTAAGGGTTTAAGAGTCTCTTCATGAATAATTGATTGCTTTCCAAGACTATTTTGACACGCTTATTACTACGATTTATAATCACGAACAAAAGAAAACAGGAAAAATAAAAAATTACACTTCCAAAACGGTGTAAAAAGTGGGCTTAGAAAAGGAGATTAAGATATATTTATAAAATAGGTTTGTTTTGAAAGCGCGCGTGAGGGATTTTCTTATTTCGCCATTTTTGCAATCTTCTTATCATTATTTCTTCTTATCACACAAAATAGTCGTGAAAATAATATTAAAATGAATATAAAGCAATTAAAGTTCTATACATGCATTTTCGAATAAGAGGCCGTTAAAATTTGCCTAAGGCCTGTTTTAGAAAAAGTCTTTTCAAAAACATCAATCATTTGCTTTATTCCGTTGTGACCACATCTATCAATGAATGGATATTTTTCCTAAGTCATCTATAAGATAACAAAAAATATAGATTTCTTTTCATTTTTTACTCTATGGCTTTCTTTCTTTCTTTCTTTTCTTTCTTTTTCATTCTGTTGACCTGAATAAAGGGAATTCTCTTCCAGATTATTTTTACCTTTGCCTACAAAAGCTGGAAAAAGCCAAATATAATAAACCAAATATAGCTTCAAAAGTATGTTATAAAGCCTCATTCGCGTCCACAAATGATTTGAATATCAAAAAATAATTTTCTAAATAAAACGTTTTATAGCATTGCTTGCCTTGAAATCATTTTTAAATGTCAAAATGAATGTCAAGTGTGCAATCTTTGCAAACTTATCTTTGTTTATAAACCGAAATAAGTATGACCTCCCAAAGAGTAACCTTCGAATAACAAGATTATATATACATTATTCATGCTTTATTCTTTATTTACAGTAGGCACTCAAGTGGGTTTAAGTTAGAAAAAGATACAAAAAGTCATTTCGTTTTGCAATCATTTCAATATAGATACAGAACAACAATATATCCTACACATTAGTCTTCCTAGAAGTTAAAATATTATACACGAAAAGAGAGCTGTTCTTTCGTGTCTATTGTTAAACCACGATTTCTGGATTAATTCATTGATACTGGGAGGTAAAGATGATAAGGTTAATGGTGTAGAATTATTGACCGCATTGATAATAAAAATACGATTTGGAATGAAGAGTATTCCATATATCTCTTCTCTTCTCTTCTCTTCTCTTCTCTTCTCTTCTCTTCTCTCTTATCTTATGGTTTGGAAATGTTTTCGATAAGAATATCAATAAACTAATCGACTAATCATTCTTTTTTAAGGTCGCAATCAAAGTGATACCGAAAAATAACGTCTATTCATTTGAAGAAGTAAGTATATCCTAGAAGAGTGTGGTAAAGATACTAAGATAAACGTGAATAACGCAGATTTAATTAGATAAGTTACACAGATTGTTCCATTAATTGATTGGTTACGTGATAATTGCGCGCTATTTTGGATGGAAAATGTGGACACTGCTAGACCTTTTATCTTTGAAAGGATTTTTTTAGAAAAAAAGTCTCAGAGAAAAGGGAGATAGAAAATGGGTTATTCCAAGAGCAATGAATAAAGTATTTTCTTGGCTTTTAAAGACATCTTTTCTGAACATCAATGCTAAAAAAAATTCTAACAGAGTTATAAAAATCCTAAAAATGGTCATAGCTGGCTACTGGGCTGGCTTTTTTTATATATTTCAATATTCACCTACTTAAAAATACATGAATAAATAACTCATATGCTTGATCCGTTTTCTTCTCCGTACAACCTAACACGCTAAATCCCAGTTCGATCTGTAAGTTATTCTTGCCCTGAGTTTTATCAGCCCACAGGTTGTTTCAGGGTTCAATCTGTGAGTTTGCTGTGCCCTGACCTTGATCAGCCCAGAGGTTGTTTTAGGTTTCAACCTGTGAGTTAGCCGTGCCTTGACTAAGATTAGCCCAGAGGTTGTTTCAGGGTTCAATCTGTAAGTTAACTGTTCCCTGACTTAGATACGATCAGCCCATACATTTTTTTTCAGTGTTAGTTAATGTTCAAGAATTAGTTTATGTCCTTTTTAAGTGATCCTAATTTTTCTTACTTATCACTGACCACACCTATTATTCGTTTCCAGATTGACGGTGTGTCTGTACCAATGGAGGTGTATCTTCAGCGATATCTGGACCATCCCAACATCATCAAACTCTATGACTACTTTGAATATCACCAAGCGTATGTTTTAATCCTCGAGAGACCAACACATTATAGGGATCTATTTGACTTTATAACAGAGCATAAGAGATTGGCTGAGCCAAACGCAAAGGATATATTCAAACAGGTAATGTTATTAATACTTGAAATGTTTGTCTCTGACTTAAATTTTTTATTTATTTTTGTTTTTAATACTGTAACTGAGTTCTTTCTCGCGCTCTGATTGATCGAAATACCATTGACTTAGAGTATTTAAAACCCTAACGTCTTTTTCCCGCTAGCGCTCTCAGAATTTGAACTTTCATAGGAAAAATAAAACAATATATTTCGTTCATTTTTTTTCTTTTTTTTCCCCCAGTTCAGTATGAAATTGAAATAGAGGCTTTGCACCATCACACGATTGCAGCCATGGCAGGAGGCAGAAAAAATAATTGTATCTTTAAACTAATTTATATGAAAAATAGTTTAGTTTCGCAGGGGGAAAAAGACTCTTTTTGGGCCTCCTGTCATGGCTGCCATCACGTGGTGGTACAAAGCCCTTATATGGTATATATGTTTGTATTGAACAGGTAGTGTCTGCTGCAATCTATTGCGAATCTAAAGGAATCTTCCACCGAGACATCAAAGACGAGAACATTCTCCTTGACACCAAGACAGGCCAAGTCAAGCTGTTTGACTTTGGGTCGGGAACCATTCTCGAGAACACGTTGTACACAGATTATGAAGGTTAGTTACGTGACATAGGCAATATCTCTTTGGCCCTCACAAATGTAATAGACACCCTGCGACAGACAATTTTAGCTTCGTTGTGTGTTGTCCCATTTCAGACCATATGATGCCACTCTTGAGAGTTGATTCTTTCATGTGTAAATATTTTAACATGTTCGTCCTGTCAAGAAAACACTTCTCAAGGGAATGTCATATGATCTGAATTACCTTTTACCTTGGGCGTAATGGTTTTCCATTTTAGACCAACGTGTCCTTCCCTAGAGTACCATTTCTTGTTTAACGGTTTTACATGAGAAGACACATGAATATGGATACACCTCAAACTAAGAATGTTATTCTGAAGAGAATGACACGTACTCTGAAAGAGGTTTACCTTACGCCTAAGATAACAGGGTCATTTGAATGTCGAAAGAAAATAGTTTTGAAAATATTTCTGATGTAATTATTGTGAAATATTGTTTCAACAATCGTCCCATAAAAGAGATAAATAAATATTGATTTATTTAAAATGATACATCATTTAACGTTCAAAAACTTATAATTTCAGGAACACGTGCGTATTGTCCTCCGGAGTGGTTTCGTTTTCACCGTTATTATGCCAGATCCGCCACTGTTTGGTCGCTAGGAGTATTGCTATATAACATATTAATGGGGGATGTTCCTTTTACTAATGAGATAGAGATAGTAAGGGCTGAACTAAACTTCACTGATGATGTCAGTAAAGGTAATGCCTGTTCATCTATTTATTGCTTTCTTCTGTCTACGGCTTTATTTTTCTTCTTTTTAGCTAAAAACCATTAACCCGTCAACATATCCCTCCACCCACGCCTTCAATGCCTTCTTACATCCATGCATCCATGACTTTCATCCATTCACTTAAGGCGCAGACACACGGGGCAACATTGCGCACAACATTGCAGGCAATGTTGCTGAAGTAGGATACTTTTCTACTTTAGCAACGTTGCGAGCAACAAATTGCGTCGTGTGTCATGGCTTGCAACATCAATTGCATGCAACATTGCGCGCAATGCTGCACCAAGTGTCCATAGCTTTATGCATTCATGCCATCCACCCATCCTCTTTATTTTCCCTCGCTATTCCATCCATTGCTAACGTTCATATATCCATTTGTTCATCTAGATCTGTCAGTCTCTCCATTCGTTTACGATACTTCTTTTTACTTTGATGTTGTCAGATGCACAAGATCTCACTCGTCGTCTCCTAGCCAAACATCCCTCTAATCGACCAACACTAGAAGATGTCCTACAGCATCCTTGGTTACAGGAAGCAAAGCAACGACCACGGTCGTCACAAGAAGGACGACCATCTCAATATGATTCCAAGTTCTATAACAATGGAAAACGAGCAAATGATCTGTCCAAGGGACACGACAGTCAATAATGAGCTGTTATAACAAGGCTGCAAATGTTTTTTTTCTATAACGCTGTCATATGTTAGATCAGGGACAAGGGTTGATCTGACACGCAGCCAGTTTATTCGGCCAAAAGCTTCTATCAAATACTGCAACCGAAGAAAACGAAGAAAAAAACCTTAATGCTATATACGCCTGTGGTAATTCTGTCAGGTGAGACTGCTGAAACAACATGGCGGCCCTACGTATTGGACTGTTAGTGTTCTTTCCACCGATTGGATTCACCTTTCACTCATAATTTCTGACCCTGGCCACATAAACAGGAACGTTCTGCCTCGAGTTTTGCAAATCTGAGTGAACATATTTTTTTCATATTTCTTATCCTTAACAAAAGAGTCCGGTCAGTGTGTCATGCTAGACTGAACGTTCACCAGTCAAAACCACTAATTTACCGCAAAAAATGTCCGATGTCCGGCGCTAAATTTGCAGGCTTGAATTCTATTCAAAACTACGGGAAAACTAAGAATTTTGAAATATGTTTATTCTTCGTTTCTGAAAACCATATTTTCCTAATTATTTTGAACTATTGCTTCGTCTAAGTTCAAAATGTTTTATATTCTATTCTAAATTTATATTTAAGTTTCTTGCGACTCTGATTACCTTGGGTCTTTATAAAGAAATTTCCTCTTCAGAGTTGCTCAAACATTAGATCAATAAATTTATTCTTGTTCTATTGGATTTAAAAAAAATAAATTATTTTTTAAATGGTGTAACAGAAGAAATCTTTAGAGTAATTTGTGAGTAGTAAATGCACTTAGTATATGAGGATCAACTAGACGATAGACTAAATACCAAGATATATATCTTTTGCCGGAATTTCTTTATTGACGCTTGTTCACTAATACATATTGCGATCAATCCATTGTCTTAAAGAACGAACCTTTGCGTACACGCCATACTTTCTCTCCCATGCACATCCTTCTCCCCAAGAAACGACCCCTTCAAGATAGAACCGTCCATTGCTCTCACACACCATGGGTCCGCCTGAATCGTTTTGGCATGAATCTTTCCCCCCTTGGTCATAGCCAGCGCAGACCATGGATTGTTGATGGATTTTTTGAGGATAAGCTCGTTGACAGCTTTTAAGGGATACGATTGGTACAGACACTTGCATTAGTTTCTCTGGATCTGCGCCACCAGAAGACAGTTTGCCCCAACCTAGATATTATGAAAATATGAGTAAGCATGAATAATTAATAATGCAATTATTGTCAGGTCAGAACAGAATGTTTTGCTACTGGTAACCATGTAATCCAGTACTACCTGTTCATGGACCCTCTCCCACCAGTATCTGGTGAGGGTAGGGGTGAGGGAGAGGGAGAGGGAGAGGGAGAGGGAGAGGGAGAGGGTGAGGGTGAGGGTGAGTATCAATTAATCGTCACTAGGGAAGGATGAGCTGCTATGGAGCCACAAGTCAAACCATATAATCCAGTACTACCTGTTCATAGTCCCTCCTACACCAGTATCTTCCTGGTGAGGGTGAGAATAGCGCAGGGAACTGTGAAAAGGACTATACGTACCAGTTACCCAGCATTTCTTTCCTTCAAAAATTTTCCTCACGTTATCATTTGGAAGACACACTAGGCCAACCTCTTTGTTCAAATAAACTGGTCTCTTAAGCTTCAATAGAGCTATGTCGTTGGACAAAGTGATTGGATTGTGGTAGTTTTCGTGGCTGATGATTCGTTCGATATCTACGTCTTGTTCTGTGCCCATAACCCTGTCTCTGTAGTGAGCTCCAAGTCTGGAAGAGAATCGAGCATATTCTTTAGAAAAAATCTCATTAATAAAACATAGGTCCGGACCATCTCTTAGCCTCAACTATCTTGAGAAACCAGAGACGTTAAATAAATATGCACTAATCATGAAGGGAATCTAAAGTTATGAATGATAATGATAATGTTTGCAGCTTTTCATTGGGAAATTACCAGCCTTTCTGTCGCGAAGAAACTTTTAGGGAAAAAAAGTCACATCTTTTGATTCCGTTAATGCAAGACAAGACATGCAATGAGCATAGTTTTAACGAAGTTAAAACTTCAATAACATGCAAGATCACATATATTTACCTGACGAACAATTGGTTAGGTGTGATGTTACTAACACAGTGCGCAGCAGTGACCACCCACTGAGGATGAACCAAAGATCCTCCACAGAACTGTCCAACACCACCATTCTTCGTCCTAAGCATCACTTGCCACGGCCATGCACCTCTAGGAGCCTCGGCACCACCAACGATCCTTACATTTGGTTTTACACCACAGTATCCTGTATGAAAAGACATTCACATTAGTGTGGCTCATTAGCAAGTGGAATTGAAGATGTGTGACCGTTGTGGAGATGAAATGTGTCCAGCATAATGAACACCGAATTGGCTGTCGCAACGTTTCCCAAGCGAGTCAGGAGAGAAAGACATGGCAGCCATGTTGGTGTTATTTAGAAACGAGGCTTATGAGAAATCTTTTAATGAATAACACAATATGGCGTACGTCGATGGCGTAACGTGCAAACAGAAAATGGAGGTTTTTATGGCGGTCATTTTTGCTAAGTGGAGTTGCCGTCCATTTTGCCCGCTTTGCCTTGTGTTAGTTTAGTTTAGCATGCTTCCCATTTCCAAAAAAAAAAAAAAAACACAAGACGTTTCTAATGCAAAATACTTTAAATCTTTCCAAACCACTGTGTTTAAAGGATTTCTTTCTAATCGATATATGGTTTCTTTCTAGTAAAGCTACGATCAAAATAATTAATTAATTAACAAAATATACGAAAAAAATCGGATCCGTATGCTTAGAATCTTGCCATCATAAAAGAAGCTAGATTATCAAATTATGTATTTACATTGAATAATGTTCATCTGCATTTTTGTTTTGCTCTCGACACCTCTATATAATATTAATATATTTAGTTAAAACTTTTCTTTTTTCCCCAACAAGTTTACAGTTGTCAATATTTGATCTTATTTTAGGCACTATTTTAAAAAATCGATGGAAACATTTTTAATGTAAGACAACGTACCTTCTGTTAGACTGGCAATGCAAGATAGCCCCAAGATTAAGAAAAGAGGTAAAGATTCCATCTTGTAGGAGTCCCTGAGATACAACAAGTGCCCTTACAAGTACTGCTGCCTATTATGTGCCTTTAAGGGCGGTACACATCTGCAAGGCTGCACAAACCTAACCGTGCGATTCAATTCTAACACGTAGGCTAACACAATAGAATCCATTACAAATGTCAAAAAATCATGAGTGAATACGGGAGAAAGATTATTTGATATTGATTCAGCATATACAGCTATATCGATGTTACAAACGTCGTAGTAGTGCTAGGTTTTTGGTTGGTGATTAAAACACACTATAGACCCCTTGCAGCACGTCGGAATGCAGCTCAATTTTGAGGACATAACAATAGGTTTCCAATTCTCTTGAGAATAAAATTCTTCTGTTTTGTCCTTCAAATTGAGCTGCTTTGACGTCACATGCAAAGGATTTATTGACGACTCTTCAAACTCCAGTGTATGCAGGATTAGCCTCACTTCTGAAGTCGGTAAATAAAAACAGAAATTAGAATAACAAACAAGGAACTCCAGCATTCGAGGCAAAGCCCGCATACACTGGAGTCTTAGGAATCTTCAATATGGTTGACTAGATTGCAAACTCTTAAATACTGATGCAAGTCTTGCAATTATTTCAAGCTCCATGTCTCAGTCCACAAACGTTTAGTTGAGCTGTATGTAAGAACCCTGATTATCCTTCAAGCTATTCCACCTGCACTTTGGAAGCATACGAACAAAATAGTCCCCTTACTGCGGATGCGAACCAGTGTAGTGTGCCACTAAAAATAATGATCTTGGCTGAGCATCGTGTGAGAGAGATGTTAGATACCCCGCTACATAAGCACGCTTGTCGCTATAGGTTCTTAAAGTTCTTATTTCGTTTTCTTTGAATATTGAAACACTACTTTAATCTTAGTGACCAAGAGTTCAATGCATAGTCTCAGTATTTCCCCATTTTTCTCTTTGTTTAAATACTGTTTCATTTTATCAATCTAGGCTTTAAACATACGAGATTTATTATCACCCTGAACGACCTTAGAAACTAATGCACTCCCTTTTGGGAGAGAAAAGGGAAGAGCGACAAAATAGATACAAATGGCAGAACTGCAAAGAAATGTGAAGCGAAGCAAATGACAATGTCCAGTGTTGAAGAGAAGCTGAACTGGATTCATTGTGTATGGTAAAATTTGCCACTAAGAAGACATGGGACACAAGTTTGTAGACAGTAAAATTTTTATTCAGCCAAACCTACACTCGAGCAGTCAAGGATGCTAGCTAGTTTCAAACGATTATTCAAAATTGAGCTTTGCAGTCTCGACTGAATACTTTGTATTTAACATGAGTACCGGACTATGAAAAGTGGTGAATGCATTAGACAATAATCTAAATACTGACCAAGATCTTTGTAAAGGACAACTCCTCAATTCATTC